CCAATTAATAGATGGAAAACTGTTCAATTAAAGGATGGAAAACTGTCCAAGTAAAAGACGGAAAACTGTTCAATAAAAGGATGGAAAATGTCCAATTAAAGGACAGAAAACTGTTCAATTATTCAAGTGTCTTTATTTGTTCTAATAAAAGAAGGAAAACTGTCCAATTAAAAATGGAAAACTGTCCAATTAAAGGAAGGAAAACTTTTCAATTAATGGATGGAAAAAACAAGGTACTCAAGTGTCCATTGCCCGGACATGGATTACCGGGGCCCCACCCTGGAGACTCGGAGTAGAACCACTGCTCCTCCTTATCCAGAGGAGCTAGTTGAGGTAGTTCAGACATCTGGTAAGGATGCTCCCTGGGCGCCTCCCTAGGGAGGTGCTTCAGGCATGTCTGACTGGGAGGAGACACCAGGGAAGACCCAGGACACGCGGGAGTGACTATGTCTCTCGGTTGGCCTGGGAATGCCTTGGAGTCCTCCCAGAAGAACTGGAAGAGGCTGTGGAGAGAGATTTGTGGATCTCCTCCCTGCTCGAGATGCTGCCCCCATGACCCGACTTCAGAATAAGCAGAAGATAATGGATGGATGGAAAACTGTCTGATTAAAGGGCAGAAAACTGGCCAATTAAAGAATTAAAAATGTATACAAAACACATTTTGGTACAATTATTAATAATCATGCTCCTATTTGAAGCTCTCGACCTTTGACCTCTCTAAGTGTCTTTAAGAATCTGTTGGGACTCCTGGCAGGGTCCAATGCAGACATGTTCCTGGTTTTAGTTTCTACATTTGTCTTGGAATCTAGCTGGTTTTTGTTTTGTTACCTTTTCCTTTTAGCCATCCTATTTGTTAAAAAAACAAAAACTGTATTATGACTTTTTATAACTGTTTATTGTTGTTGCTGTTGTCCATTGTTGTCATCATTCTTTGTTAAATCAGGTCTCTCTTGTAAATGAGTCCTCGAGGCTCAATGGGATTTACCTGTAGAAATAAAGGTTGATTGATAAGACGAGTATGGATAAAAGACTGCTTCAGTCCATGGGTGTCTCATGAGTTATATATAAACCCTTGTTGGGCTGCTCCCTCCATACTTCAGTCAGATTCTGTATATAGTGTCAGCTACAACGTTTCACAGCAGGTCATCCAAATCTCTGTTGGTGAAGGTCTCAAGGAGGACCAGGTCTGATTCTGGCTCGTCTGTTGCCTCAGATGACTGGAATCTGCTGCAGAAAACAGAGAGACTCTGCGGTCGTTTCAGTCTCTGCCTTTAAAAGTTGTTTGAAAACTTTGTAAATGCTTTATAGCTCAGTGAAATTATTTTGTTATTTTGATGGTTTAATTTCTAAAACACTCTTGAAGACCTCACCCAGAGCCTGCAAAGACCATCCAGGTTCTGGTTGACTGTTTGAATCCTGAGTCGTCCTCAGCTAACTGTCTCTTGTCTTCCTCAGTTTCATGGAGTCTCTCGGGACGATGGTCGGTTTCTTTTCCCAGAAGGTGAGAGAAAAGGTTACGTTGATCCGAGAGCTGTCACTCAAACACGCCTCAAAGGCTGATGGGAAATTGACGGACTCCTCCAAACCACGAACTCCAGCAGCGTTTGGATTAAAACACGGGGTGAGACCGGCTGTTAGTCTGTAAAACCTGGTAGGACCAGATGGAACTGCAGCCGGTTTTATTCTGAACACCTCTCCTCTTTAGGCGTATCGATCTGTTCGTTCCATGGTGGAGGCGGAGCTACAGGCGGGCGTGGTCAACTTCTCCCGTCGCACGGATTCGGGCAGCAGAACGCTGCTGCGGCTGCATCGATCCCTGCTCTGGCTCAAGTTGATGCTGGACGGTTTGTCTGAAGGAGCGGGAGCCGACGGACGATTCAGAACCCCCGGAGAGCTGAGCAGGTAACGGCTTGCCGTTTCAAACCTAAATCTGTTGGATGAAAAGATCCTCTCGTTATCTTCTTCCTGATGATAAAATCCCAGTAATCAAGCAGTATCTTACGTTTTTAAATCCTTCGGTAAATAATAATCTCAGAAATGTGGGTGTTGTCTTTGATAGTTCTTTATCTTTGGACAGTCATTGCAAATTGCTTGTTCGAAATTGTTTTTTCCACTTAAGAAACATTTCTAAACTACGAGGAATTGCATCACAGAAGGAACTTGAGATGATTGTTCATGCTTTCATTTCATCTCGGTTAGATTACTGTAACAGCATTTTAATGGGTCTGAACAAATCTTCCCTAGCTCGCCTTCAGTCTGTGCAGAATGCTGCGGCGAGGCTGCGAACTGGAACCCACAGAAGAGCTCACATCCTGTTCTGGCCTCCCTGCATTGGCTCCCTGTGCATTTCAGGAGTCATTTTAAAATGTTGCTCCTAACTTTTAGGGCACTTCATGGTCAGGCTCCCAAATATTTACTGGACCGTTTGAAGCCTCTATGTCCCATCAGGACTTTGAGATCTTCAAATCAAATGTTGCTGATGGTTCCGAGAACTTATTTTAGAACACGTGGAGACAGAGCGTTCCAAGTGGTGGCCCCGAGGCTTTGGAACGCTCTCCCTCTGTCACTGCGCTGCTCAGATTCCATTGACTCTTTCAAAAATGATCTTAAGACTTATTCATTCAGACTGGCTTTTATTTAAATGTTGTTTACTTGCACTTTGTGATGTCATTGTCTGTGAAAGGTGCTATATGAATAAAGATTAATTACTTCCTTAAAAGGAGCCGCACACGACAGATGTTTTAACCAAGTTCAAGGACAGACGGTCACAACAGGCTTCCACAGATAGAGGATCTGCACCGGACAGTGTGCCAGGATTGTTTTTACATCAGCTCCTTCAAGCTCGCAGACTCGGAGGCGACCTTGGAGTACCAGCTGCACATGCAGGATCAAATCAGCTCCTCGTTTAGCTCTCCGTGAACTCCAACACACGGTTCATGAGCAGTTAGCATTCTTAGCCACAGCAGTTAAAAACATCCATAAACCTTCCCCCGACAGAATCCACCAAAGGTCCGGGTCAGGCAGGACTCACCTGTTTTAAATAGACTCCTCGTCCTAAAAGGACATAAATACAAACCATCAAGCACGGTGGTGGAGGTATGACAGTTTGGGCTAGTTCTGTGGTATCAGGACCGGGTGGATTTAGTTTTTATGGCTCATCCTGGACTGTGGTTCAGTTTTTTATTCGCATGGTGTACGAAGTCTCTCAGAGGTGTCCACCTCATTCTGAGGCCTCAGTAGAACCGGTCCATTTAATCCAGTGACGGTGTCTCTTGTCTCCTGCTGTCCTCCTTCAGGGACGCCTACAGGGTGGCGCTGGCCCCCCACCACCCCTGGGTGCTCCGTCAGGCCGCAGAGCTGGTCTTCATGGCTCTCCCCGACAGGGACTACTTCCTACAGCTGGTGTGCGTGCAGACCCAGGAGGAGGCCACGCCCGTCCTGCGCGTCATCATCCACGCCCTGACGCTGGTCCACGCCCGAACCCAACGGATCCTGGCCCAGTACGACCTGTTGGAGCTGCCCTGAACCCGAGAACGAGAGGAAACTAGGAGTCAGGCGTCCCGGGACTCCAAAAACTGGACCAGAGACTCAGAGGGACAGAAATAAAACCGGAAACGGTCAGACGGGTTGTTTTGTAAACTCTGAACAAAGTTCATTTAGCATCACCGTTCCACGTTAGTCCAAATAATTTCACTTACAGAAGATTTTCTCCAATCATCAAACACTATTTATATTTTTAACTGTTTCAGTTTCAACATAAAATCAAACAACTCTTTTACAAAACACACGTTGTAAACGTTAAACTGCAGCTAAACTTTATCTTTGTATATTTTTTTAATAATGTAGTTTAATAAAAGAACAAATGCATCATTGAATTTTTTTCTAAATACAAAACTAAAAAAATGCTGTTTTTTATTTTTTTGGAGAAAATTCAGAGTAAAAGTTTGAGTTGCACCAAAACACGACTTCATGTTTATTTTCATACGAGGTTCAATGGTTCAAGTTGTTTCTTCACCGGTTCACGCGACACGCCGTCCAAAAGCACGTTTCACTGCAAACAGGCCGAGTGCCCAATTCCCTTTTTCTAGTTCGAGAAGATGAAAAACTCCGTGATAATGAACCAAAAACCAGCTCGATGGTGAACAAAACATCGTTTGAGCAACTTTAAAGTTTATATTCAGACAATTCAACATTTATCAACAACTGAAGGAAATTGTCATTAAATTATTTAAGACTATGAAGGAACGGTTCAATTTTTACGCAGCGACCGGATGAAGCTAATGGTTTAAACAGCATTTTAACTTCACCCCCCCAAAATGGCGGGAATCACCATGGTAACCAGTGACTCAGCAGATTCCAGCTAACCTTCAGACTTCATGCTAGTTTTTAATTAAACCTTTTGTGTTTAGTAAAATTAAATAAAAGGCTCGGGAGAGTTCAGGATTTAAAATCGCCAAGAAAAACAGGAACTTAAGACTTTCAAAATAAAATAAAATATAGGATTCCATTAATTTCATTGCTCAAAGAATTACAACAGGAAGTACCAAATTATTTTAAGGTTAACTTCATGTATGTTTTCACAGCATTTTACGGTATTTATTGCAAAAACAAAAAAAATGATAATAAAAAACGTAACTTCAATGTTGCCCCTTTAATAACTACAATATAAACAGAAATTAATTAATAAAAACATTAATGCTCTGAAAATAAAACAAATGATGCTTCACTACCACACACAGAATAAACCATTTAAATAAAGCTGAATATTTCTTCTGCTGTTCTTTACAAAGTAACATCTGGAGCCAGAGGTGCTGATGCTAGGTTAGCTAATTAGCATTACGTTGTCAGAGATTCTGAGTTTCTTTGTCCACATTAGGTGGAATGAAATTATGTTCACGGGGTCCCAGTTACATCCAACAATAAAATGTAAAAGAAAAACAGTAATAACATCTAAGATATGAACTAAGAAAAACATCAACTAAATATACACTAAGCACTCATAACATAAAACATTAAACATCACCACAAACATGAACATGAGTCTGTGAGCAGATGTGCACGCATGAACACATCAACATTGAAACAGATCAGCAGCAACATTGAAACAGATCAGCAGCAACATTGAAACTGATCAGCAGCAACATTGAAACAGATCAGCAGCAACATGAAACTGATCAGCAGCAACATTGAAACTGATCAGCAGCAACATGAAACTGATCAGCAGCAACATGATGTGATTTTTCACTGTGATTATTCTGGTTAGAGATTCATGAGTCTAACAGCCTCAGGGTAGAAGCTGTTCCTCAGTCTAGTGGTTCTACACTTAATGCTCCTCAACCTCCTTCCTGAGGGGAGTGGGACAAAAAGTGTGTGTGCTGGGTGAGTGTGGTCCTTCATGATGCAGGTGGCCCTCTTCCTGCATCTGAAGGTGTAGATGTCTGTGATGGTGGGGAGGCTGAGGTCATTCAGGTGTACACCCAAGAACTTGTAGCTGGAGACCACTTCCACCACAGATCCTCTTATGTTCAGGGTGTAGGTGTGATTGTTCCGTCTGAAGTCCACGACCATCTGTGTTCATCGTCAAAATCAATTTCCTGTTCAAGTGATGTCGAAGCAAATTCCTAGTTTGTGAACCTCGTTCATTGACATGGCAATAATAAACTGATTCTGAAGTGAAGATGTCCACCCACCAGGATCTCTCCTCAGAAACTGACATTTTTTCAAGAAGCATTTTTCCTCCAGATAAAGAGAGAACAAGAAAAACAGATCAAAGCTGCTGGAGAAAGTTTTTATCACGTTTGCTCAACACCCGGCTGGCAAGTCGGTTTATTTTAACTCCACCCATCCACCCATTAAAAAAAAAAAATTAAAAAAAACTTTATTAATCCCAGAGGGAAATTATTTGTTGTTGTAACTCGTTATTTCATTAAGCGATGTTATAGATACTGATGCTGTAGACAGGAAGGATCTCTTGTAAAGGTCCATCCCACAGTGGATCCTAAGAAACTGGCTGCAGATGCCGGTCGATCTGTCCACCCAGACTCGGCTGGACTCTCGGTTCCCCCCAGGCTGTAGGACCGCCCGAATGCTGAGCAGAACTCCTCCTCCCAGCAGTCTGCTGAGCTCCTCGTCGCTGCGGACAGTCAACTGTAGGTGCTGAGGGACGATCCTGTCCTTCTGCTGTCATGAGCCGTGTTTCCTGCTAGTTCCAGGATCTCGGTGGTCAGGCACTCGAGCACAGCTGGCAGGTAGATGAGAATGCGTCCACAGAACATCCTTTTCAACTCATTTGAGATTTGAGGCTGTAGTTGAGATATTATTTGAGCTTTTGAGATGTTAATCAGCTGCTGGTTGGAGAAAACTGCCTTGTTGCCATGGTTACACATCATAACAAACGCCCAAAACCAAAAAAGTTTCAGTAAAAATCGTTCCAGCTGCACAGCATCTGATACCAGAGGAAACAATCATCCAAAAAATGTGATTTACATCCAGAAAAAGAGGAATTAAGGTTTCCAAAAGCAAAATCTCAGAATGAAAGTAGCAGAGCTGCTCCAACATGCAGCCACCTGGAGCGGAGCAATTCTAGAACCCATCCATCCATCCATCCATCCATCCATCCATCCATCCATCCATCCACAGTACGTAACCAGCGTTTTATTTGGGGAGTATCTGGGCTCAGCCTGAGGAACAGGGTGAGGAGCTCAATCATCAGGAAGCTCATCAGAGTAGGGCTGGTGTTCCTCCTCACTGAGAGGAAAGGGCTCAACTGATGAAGTCATGACGGAATCAGATGGATCAGCAGGAGGATAATCAGGAATAGGATTTTCTTCAGTCTGGTTCTCATGGACAGGGTTTTCTTTGGTATGGTGGCTCTTCATGTGTGTTTTCAGACAGTGGCTCTGGGTGAAGGCTTTGTCGCAGAGGGTGCACTTGTAGGGTCTCTCTCCATTGTGGGTCCTCATGTGGACCTTCAGGTGTTCCCGTCGAGAACACGCCTTCCCACAGACCCCACAGACGAACTGTTTGACCCCTGAGTGGAGCTTGATGTGGCTGTCAAGGTTAGACTTCTGCCTGAAGCTGCGTCCGCACTCGGCGCACCTGTACGGCGCCTCCTCGGTGTGAACCATCATGTGCTTCTTCAGGCAGCTCCTGAACAGGAAGCTTTTCCCGCACACGGCGCAGGCAAAGGGTTTTTCCTCGCTGTGGATCTTCAGGTGGTTCTTCAGTCTCTGTTCCGTCGGGAACGTTTTGCAGCAGACGCTGCAGGGGAACGACTGATCCGTAGGCCTGTGGATCCTCATGTGGGTCTTCAGAGAACTTCCCAGTTTAAAACGTTTCCCACAGAGCTCACAGGCGTAGCGGCGCTCCTCCGAGTGGATGTGTCTGTGCTGGGCCAGGCACCGACGGAAGCGGAAAGCCTTGCCGCAGATGTTGCAGACGTATTTGTCTTGGCTGGTGTGTAACTTCCTGTGAATGGCGAGCTGTGGCTTCAGGCCGAACGTCTTCAGACAAATGTCGCATTTGTACGGTTTGTTCTTCTCGTGGACCCAGCGGTGGTAGTTCAGGGAGGTGATGCTGGTGAAGGTTTTGGTGCAGTCGGAACATCTGAACAGGTTGCGTCCGGTGTGACGAGCAACGTGACACCTGAGACCAGAGGCGGAGATGAACGTCTTCCCACAGTACGGACACATATGGACGTCCTGGTGAACTTTAAGGTGCTCCTTCAGCTCCCCCAGAAACTCAAATTTCACCCCGCAGATGCCACAAAGGTCCTGCTGCTCGTCCACGTGAGTCCAGGTGTGGACGACCAGACTCCCCAGCTGCCGGTACCAGGTTCCACACACCTTACAGGACAGTTGACCCCCCGTCTCCTTCACGCCACCGTTAGCTTTCGTCTTCCTGCTCGTTCTTCTGGGTTTCTGCAGTTCGGGAGTCGGCTTCCAGTCGTCACTTGGGTCCAGCGCATCCTCTCGTTGGTCGCTGGAGTCCACAGCGATCTCTGCTTCTTCCTCCTTTACCTCCAGGTTCTGTTGGTGAGACTCTGCGCTGCTGGATGGAACCTTCACTCTGGTACCGTCTGGACGTTCAGCAGGGCTGCAGAGACAGAACTAAAAACAATAAGTGGGAGAACGTTTGAAATCTGAAGTAAAATGTTCTGTTGGTTTGAAGAAGTCTGTTGGAGTCAGCCTCCCCACCATCACAGACATCTACACCTCCAGATGCAGGAAGAGGACCATCTGCATCATGAAGGACCACACTCACCCAGCACACACACATTTTGCCCCACTCCCCTCAGGAAGGAGGTTAAGGAGCACTAAGTGTAGAACCACTAGACTGAGGAACAGCTTCTACCCTGAGGCTGTTAGACTCATGAATCTCTAACTAGAATAATCACTGTGAAAAACCATATCATGTTGCTGCTGATCTGTTTCATGTTACTGCTGATCAGTTTCAATGTTACTGCTGATCAGTTTCATGTTGCTGCTGATCTGTTTCATGTTGCTGCTGATCAGTTTCATGTTGCTGCTGATCTGTTTCATGTTGCTGCCGATGTGTTTCATGTTGCTGCTGATCTGTTTCATGTTGATGTTTGATGTAATGTTTTTATGGTATCAGTAGGTCTGTCACAATAATCAATAAATCAATTAATCTCATGATAAATGAAAATTATCTTATTTTCATTGATCAGCTTCATCGTTTCTTCGTGTCTCTTTCTACTGAAGACACTCGATGACAACTCCGGTTCTTCACCGACCCCTCCCTTTCTCTTTAAAATCTGTTTGAACGTCCAACATCGTGTTTTTGAACGATTAAAAGCAGCTAAACTGAGAAGCTAAGCTACGAGCTAAGCTAACAGCCTGACCTCGAGGAAAAAAAACTCCGTCTTGTCGAAGCTCCAAAATTCACGGTTGAAACTCGTGTCTTCGTCTAAAAAGTTGTTTTTCTCTGAAAAAAGAAGCTGAGAACTTGTTTACTGATTTTTTATGAAAAGCTTTGTGTGAAAAATGCTAAAGAGCTCAAACCACCGAGCATCCGCCATGTTGAGAACTGGAGAGAGACAGCCCATGTCACGTCAAGGGGCCTCCCTCACATTTTTCTTAGAGACATGCTGCTCGCTCCCTCACTATCCATCCTTCATTCAAACAGTCTTATAGTGCCACCCAGTGGCCAGGAAAGGTACTACAAGAAATGTTTACACCTGTGGCAACATGTTCAAAGATCAAGTGACAACGGAGAACGTGACTGACCCAGGTCCCTCTCAACATCTCAGTGTGGCAGCAACAACTAACATGAAGGTCGAGGACATGCTGCACATTCTGTGTGAACTCTGTTTGTTTTCTTCATCCGGTTTAACTTGTTTCTTTAATTTGAGTGAGTGGGTGACGTCACAGCTCTCCCTTCACTTTGACCTGTCAATATGGCTCTCCTGAAAGGAACGCTTCTGTCTAGAAGACCGAGTTTGTTGCAGCTCCTCGGACTGAAGGTTGTTTAGTAAAAACTCTGGGTGGTGGTACCTTAAAGGTATTTGATAATCCAGGATCTGTGGGTCTTCTTGGTTCTGATCAGAGATGGTTGTCGGTTCAACGCCCTCCTCTGGACCATCTTCATCATCACAGAGAATCCAGGAGTCCTCCAAAGCTGCTCACACAAACAGTTCACACTTTTTAACGTTGAATCTTGCAGCTGGCCTCAGATACCTGTTGCACGTGGTCTCACCTCCTGCTCGGAGCCGAGGCTGCAGGAGCTCCAGCTGCCTCCTCTGCCGCTGCACCTCCTGCCTCAAGCCCGCAGCCTCCTGCTCGTAGTCGGCCACGGTCCTCTCCACCACCGCCAGGATCTCCCGGGCGGCTGTGCTCAGCTTCTCGGTGATGATTCCTCTCAGGATGTCTCCTTTAGACATGTTGCTGCACAAAAACATGCTTTACACTCTTTCAACACGTAGCGTCATCCCACAATCTGTTACTGAAGCATGACGCAACCACTTCCGGCTGGTGGTGCAGCAGCTAAATGTGTCCGAAGGAAAAATTGAAACGTCTTCTTCTTCTTTCATTTTATTGGCGGATCGCAAGCAACGTTCACATGGTGGCACTATAGACATGGTGCCCACCATAGACATGGTGCCCACCATAGAATGGTGCCCACCATAGTTATGGTGGCACTATAGACATGGTGCCCACCGCCATCTATTGAGCAAGAGTGTGTAGCCTCCTTTCCCTAAATTCTGTTTTTAAGTTATATTATGTAAATGAATAAACAACGTTTTTCTAACATCACTTATTTGATCCTTATCCCCTTCTGTTCCTAAGATCCCTTTTAAACTCTGTACTCTCCCTGCCTCTTTAACTTTTTTAAATTTCTCTTTCTTCTTAGCATATTTCATCAAAACTTTGTTTCCCACATTCCTCCCAGCTGTTTTTCCTTTTCCCCATCACACATTGTATATTTAGACAAGTATGGCCTCCCCTCAGTCTCATTATTATCACAGCTTCTCTTCTACTTCTTTCTTTACAATTATCATAACTGAGTTTTGTATTTTGAATAATCTTCCTCCTTTCTTATCTTAATTCCACTTTTTCTGCCAATTTTCCATTTCTTTTCTATTAATTGATTTACCTTCTCCTTTCCCTAAAAGAATATTAACTGATAGTTAACCCTTCAAAGTCTTTAGTGAGTTGATCTGCTCTCTCTTTCCTTCCACCCCATCGAGAGCCGGCACCCAACCAAACTGAACTTCCACACAACCTGAAGAATCTGTGCTGTATTTCTAAAAGAAGGTCTTTCCTAGTATTTCCTTTACACTGCAGGCTTTCAATGACAGACTTTAGGTCTATAGATACCACCACCCTGTCCGGTCTAACTTGGTCTGATATCCTTTTGGAAATACACATTTTAAACTTTGGTAAATACAGGTGCTGGTCATAAAATTAGAATATCATGAAAAAGTTGATTTATTTCAGTAATTCCATTCAAAAAGTGAATCTTGTATATTATATTCATTCATTACACACAGACTGATATATTTCAAATGTTTATTTCTTTTAATGTTGATGATTATAACTGACAATGAAAACCCCAAATTCAGTATCTCAGAAAATGAGAATATTGTGAAAAGGTTCAATATTGAAGACACCTGGTGTCACACTCTAATCAGCTAATTAACTCAAAACACCTGCAAAGTCCTTTAAATGGTCTCTGTCTAGTTCTGTAGCTACACAATCATGGGGAAGACTGCTGACTTGACAGTTGTCCAGAAGACGACCATTGACACCTGCACAAGGAGGGTAAGACACAAAAGGTCATTGCTAAAGAGGCTGGCTGTTCATAGAGCTCTGTGTCCAAGCACATTAATAGAGAGGAGAAGGGAAGGAAACGATGTGGTAGGAAAAAGTTACAAGCATTAGGGATAACTGCACCTGGAGAGGATGGTGAAACAAAACCCATCCCAAAATGTGGGGGAGATTCACAGAGTGGACTGGAGCTGGGGTCAGTGCTTCAAGAACCACCACGCACAGACGTATGCAAGACATGGGTTCAGCTGTCACATTCCTTGTGTCAAGCTATTTTTGAACAACAGACAACATCAGAAACATCTCGCCTGGGACTGCTGCTGAGTGGTCCAAACTTATGTTCTCTGATTAAAGTAAATGTTGCAATTCCTTTGGAAATCAAGGACCCAGAGTCTGGAGGAAGAGAGGAGAGGCACAGAATCCATGTTGCTTGAGGTCTAGTGTCAAGTTTCCACAGTCAGTGATGGTTTGGGGGCCATGTCATCTGCTGGTGTTGGTCCACTGTGTTTTCTGAGGTCAAAGGTCAATGCAGCATCTACCAGGAAGTTTTAGAGACTTTCTGCTTCCTGCTGCTGACCAACTTTATGGAGAGGCAGATTTCATTTTCCAACAGGACTTGGCACCTGCACACAGTGCCAAAGCTACCAGCACCTGGTTTAAGGACCATGGTATCCCTGTTCTTAATTGGCCAACAAACTGTCCTAGAAAATCTATGGAATATTGTTCATTCAACCTTTATTTCTACAGGTTAACCCCATTGAGCCTCGAGGACTCATTTACAAGAGAGACCTGATTTCAACAAAGAAAGATGACAACAATGGACAACAGCAACAACAATAAACAGTTATAAAAAGGCATACAGAATTTTGTTTTTACAATTAAGATGACAAATAAAAGGGTAACAAAAACAGTTGGATTATAAGGCAAATGTAGAAAACTTAAAACAGGAACATGTCTGCATTGGTCCCTGCCAGGAGTCCAACAGATTCTTAAAGCCACTAGAGAGGTCAAAGGTCCAGAGCTTTAAAATCTTTTTGCAAGATGTTCCAGGAAACAGGAGCGGAGTAGGAGAAGGTCCTTTTGT